TGTTTCAATATTTCTATGCAAATTTTTTAAGCTTAACCCGTTTGGTCATTTGAGGGGATTTTTTCAAAAAAATCTTTAAGAAACGATTTTTATTCGTAAAAAACTCCATTTTTGTAGGTATTTTCAAATCGGTCCAGCTCACGTAAATCTTAATATTTTTCCGTAATATTGTCGTGAACGTCTTTAAATATAATAGATTTTATAATTCGAATGGAAACACAGTACCGATTTTTTTTTATGGGAAGTGATGCAGTCTTATATACATACATACGATCACCAATTAATTTCATTTAAAGAAATGGCGTGCCGTTCATTTCCGCTCGGCTGCTCCATTCCAAAACACTATAGGGCTGTTCAGGATGTTGTGGAAATGGTCTTGGATTTGCAATTGGAATTGCATTTGCAAAGTTTGAGCTTGCTGCCATGGCAACCGTGTGCATTTTATTGTTGTGAATTTTCAAATGCAAGAGCATATGCACAAGATTCTGAAAAGCCCTAGTATGTTTTAAAAATAAAATTGATGTAGAGAAAACAGATACTTTGTTTTGGGATGGGAAAAGATTAAAATTTATGTAGATACTAGGTTTTTGATGTGTCGTATCTCCGAAAATCTTGCAGTTATCAACAGTATATCCCAAATTATAAAAACCCGATTTTCCGAGAAAATGTTGGATACCGTGTTTTGGAATGTAGCAGCTGCGCTGTAACATAGAGCATATTTTTAGGCGCTATTGGCAGCGAGGTAGCTGTCTAGACTAGTTTTGCTATGATATCTACCGACGAAGTTGAAGCCGAGACTAGTTATTATAGATACTTTTATTAAAGCAAAGATTGTCTGGACAAAGCAGAAATCAAGTTGATAAAAGCGTGGTAATAATAATGTTTATTTCCCGCCAGTGCCCTAGTCTGGCGACTACTATTGTCTGGCCAAAAGTCCAGAAGTAACCAAATTGATTTGAGACTTGGGGTTTGGGGGTTTTTGTGCTCCCTGATTTCGAACATGATTTCAAATTTTTTAAATTAAAAATAGTGGATCAAATATAGCGACCAAATTTTATAACTTTTTCCTTTGCACCAAAATCTTTCATTGGAAGGGGTTTTCGAGGTCGCTGATTTCGAATCCGATGTCAGATTCTTAGAATTTTAAATGGCGGATTTACTTTGGCGTCCAAATTTTATAATTTTTTCCTTTTCACCAAAAACTTTTATATAAGGGGCGATGGCGAGGTGGCGATGACAGTTTTTTTACATTCAAAATGCGGGTCCAATATAGGGTTATCTTATCGGATTCGGAGCAAAAAAAATGTAATTCAAAATAGTAGACCACATTTTTGCTATGTATTTTTCCCTAATCATAGGTGCTTCAAATAAAAACTTTTTCCTTTGGATATAAGTATAACGAGAGTTTGTATTTGTACTTGCGTATTTAACAGTGATGGGCACACCTAAATACTTTTGTACTTAAAGTACCAGTTTGGGAACTAAATACTCAAATACTTAACATTTGGAGATGTCTAAATTAGAGGTGGGCAAAATACGCGTGAGGGTGAGCGGGTTTGAGATAAAAATCACGTAATTTCCGTGATCGTGCGTGGCGTGAGCGTGCATGAGTTAGTTTTCCGTCAATCACATAAACATAAACATAAACATAATTTTAACATATCACTATTATTGGGAAGGTATTTTCCCGCCCTTTTTACTTGTGTGCAAAAAACTCATTCAATACCAAATGGCTCTAAATTGGAATAGTTTTGGTCCAGTTATTCAAGTTTTTCTTATACCAATCTTTGGAAAAGGTTAAAAAACGGCATCAAAAATCTCATTGTTACGATTCCGGTAAATTTTTTTTTAAATATTCCTATGCAGATTTTTTACGCTTAAACTGCTTTGTTATTGAGGTTTTTTTTTTAAATTCTTTAAGAAGCTGTTCTAATTAAAATTTTTCCTAAATATTTTGGTGCAAGTTTTAAAATATAATAGATTTCATAGTTCCAATGGAAACACAGTACCGATTTTTTTACGATAAAGCCTATTTATATGAAATGCTATTTATATAAGTAAAGTTTCAATTTGAAAAAAACAAATATCCGTGAAGAAGCGTGCGTGAGCGTGCGTGATTAAAAAACTAGGCGTCGTGAGCATGTGTGAACGTGATTGAAAAAAAATATAGCAGAACGTGAGTGTGCGTGATTTGCAAAACCATCAACGTGAGCGTGCGTGAACGTGAGCCAAAATTAGTCACGTGTCCATCTCTAGTCTAAATATTCAAGTAAAAAGAACTTAGGTATGTATTTAGGAGTTTATAAGTACCCAAATAAAATATACTTAGGGATTCAGGAGTTTGCTACTTACATAAGTACAAAATACTTAGGTATTTAGGAGCTGTTTGATATTAAAGTAAAAAAACTTGAGTATTTAGGAGCTGCTAGATACTAAGGTACAAAAAATTAAAATATTTAGCAGGCGGTCTTTTCCAAAGTACTCCGTTACTTAGGAGGTGCGAAATAATTTCACTTCTTGGTATTTAGTCTCTCGATGGCTAAATACTTTCAAACTAAATAGAAATTTAAAAAATTAACCTCACCCTCTACTCACCTCAACTAACCTTACCACAACTCACTTAACCACAAACAAACTCACCACACCTTACTTAAACTCATCACACCGCATCCTACCACACCTAAATTCACCAACCGTAACTCACCACAGTTTAACTCATCACACCCGTTCTCACTAAACCACACCTCAATTTGGGGACTATTTCGGCATTTTAGAGATATCTGAAAGCATTTAAACATGCCATGAAATAAAACTATTTAAAATTTACGACAAACTGATCGTAAAACTCACATCCTTACTTCCTTACTAATATTATAAATCCGAAAGTGAGTTTGTTTATTTGCTACGCTCTCACGCTTTAACTACTCAACCGATCATCATGAAATTTCGTACACTGCTAACACTTAGCCCAACTTAAAATATAGGACAAATTTAATCTCGATTAGACAAGGGGGCGTGGCACCTCCCATACAAACGGAATTTTCCATACTGCATTTCTCAGGAAATATATTTGATAGATTACTGGAACTTGGTATGGAGATACATATATAAAATCATTATCTTCTCATGGATGAGGGCTGCCACCTTTTAAAAAAATCAAATTCAACTTCAATTAAGGGAGTTATTTATTTGAAAATTATATTAAAAAATGGAGGCTTAAAAAATCTGTAGTTCGAATATATTTTGAAAAGGGTTGCCACCTGTTTGAAAAGTAAAATTTAAATTAATAATACGCAAGCTATCTGAAGAATTAAAATATGGTTGTCTAACTAAACATTGTTAAGAAACCTTTAGTCTGAAAGTTTTGAATACTATTGAAGTCTTTTACAAGGGTTGCCACCTTTTTAAAAATTAAATTCAGGTATTTTGAAATAAAATTTAAAGTAAAAGGCGCGCAATGGTTCTGGCGGTTGAGTTATCGGTAGTGGTTTGAGATTTACCGCTGCACAACTCAACCCGGGTGTCTCCGAAAGAAGCTTTAACGCATAATAATACTGTCAAATCACATCCATTGGGCCAGTCGTAGCACACAAGAGTCCGATATATTCAATGATGCAACAGATCGATTTAATTTGACATTCACGGCACCTTTTCTAACTTGGAGATTATTCGTAATGACTCCAGCGCCACCAGGGCTGCATCCGCCTCTTTCCAATAGCTCCAATTTTTCTCCAAGGATATGCGATTGATTTCACATATCTCCATACCAAGTTCCCGTACTCTACCATGAACATTTGCAGAGATATTCTGTACAAAAATTCAGTATAAATGGGAGGTGCCACGCTGCCTTCTCCAATAGCACTAATTTTCTCCATGAGTATGCGTATGTAGCCCATTTTTCTCCATGAGTATAAGATTGATTTCATATTTCGCCGTACCAAGTTCCAGTATTCTATTATGAACACTTCCAGAGATTTGCAGTACGAAAAAATCGGTTTGTATGGGATGTGCCGCGCCCCCTTTATATATCGAAATTTTTGTAGCCTATAACCATCCCTGGGACATAAAAAAACGGCTTTCAAAATATATATTAGCATAGAAGATTGGTATGGTTCTAAATGGTTTTGAATATCACAATATGAGTGTCAGGCGAAAGAGGTTTAAAACGGTTGCCACCAGTTAAAAAGGTTAGNTATGAACACTTCCAGAGATTTGCAGTACGAAAAAATCGGTTTGTATGGGATGTGCCGCGCCCCCTTTATATATCGAAATTTTTGTAGCCTATAACCATCCCTGGGACATAAAAAAACGGCTTTCAAAATATATATTAGCATAGAAGATTGGTATGGTTCTAAATGGTTTTGAATATCACAATATGAGTGTCAGGCGAAAGAGGTTTAAAACGGTTGCCACCAGTTAAAAAGGTTAGATTCAAACTATTCAATAATTTAAATGAATTATTACAATATGGGTACCAATTGAAATGGTTTTTAAAAGGCTTCGATTCAAAACTACATGTAAGAGGTTTCCATCTGTTTAAAATCTCAAATTGAGTTCAGGGGATAAGTTAATTGAAAAAGTATGACAAGTGAGAAGTTTAAGAAAGTTTTAGTTTGAAAATATTTAGAAGATGGTTAAAAATTTTAAACCTCCTGTGTTTTAATTGAGTTTTCTTGAAATAAACTTTACTCAATGTAGCACGTAGAAATTTCATACACTCAGCGGAGCGGGTGAGGGCGATCTAGTATTTATTTAATCAAACAAATCTTAAAGTAATAAATTTTTTAAATTGTATTTAAAGAACCATGTGATTGAGGGTCGAATACATCACAAATAACAATGTTAATACCAAGTACTTTTGAAATTAATGATTAATACAAAAAAAATTACAAAAATATACAAAAACGATTCCTCTAAACATGTTTATTCTACTCTATAAAGAAATAGCGAATGGGGATTTTTATTTCTTTTTTTCGCAACTTACTCAAAATTTTGAGGGTGTACGAGTCAAACGGATCTCAGAATCGGATTCAGCGGGTCGAAACACATGTTGGTAGGTTGGTCTGGTTAAAAACCTACCCCTTTTTTGTGCCGGTGTTACTTAAAATGTTTTTATAGGCATTCAAAGCGGAGACTTCTAGTCTTGACCTGAAGTTGTTAAATACAAAACCTACTGATGAAAAACATATTTAGGCTGAACTGTCAAAAGGTAAGCCATTTGAAGATAATGACCCATATCTCCTCCATTACAAAAGATTTGAACTTCTTTCACCACCACGTCGGATAAAGTATAACTTTTTCGATTTGAGTAAGTTTTGAGTAGATTGATTTAAAAAATTATGTAACTTTTTCTTAAAGCTATCTGTTTCGATTACATTAGCGATGCTTCAAAATTCATAACCAAGTTCTTACCATCAATTCGATATTTAAAATTTTTCGGGATCCCGGGATTAGCTTTCGTTTTCGGGACCTCGAAAACACCGGGATCCCGGGATTGGCCTCCCTAGCCTTGGCTCATATACATATACTAGCAGACCCGGTCAACTTCGTTCCGCCAAAAATTAATTTTTTGATTGAAACATTTGGTCCAACGTTTTCACCAACAATTCACGTTCACGTTTGGTTTTGTGGTCGTCACAACGCATATCCTCAATTGCCGTCTTAGACACTCCACACATTATGCGCCTAATCAAAGAGAGTAATCGTTTCGTCATGCCGAAACGAATGCATGACGACTCGACTTCTCCTCAAATAGTTTTGCAGCGAAATATTGCATAATTGCTTGTGGTTTAATATAATTTGAACGAATTTTAGCACGAAATCGGTTATTTTCAATTATTACCTATAGAAATAACAAATAATTTTTATTTCCAACACAAAAATGGTCTACAATGTTGGGCGCTTCGATTCAGGAAGCTTTTATGAGTAGGCGAAAACATGATTATGAATGGTAATGTACAGAGCTGCATTGAAATACATGTGTTCGGCATAAAAGCTTCACACTTTAGTATGCCGAAACGATTCGATTCGGCGCTAAATGAACGGAGTGCCTTAGATCAGAACATCCTAAAGTGGGTTCCGCGGAACATAACCCCACGTCTCCACCTTCCACAGATTCTGTTAAAAAAGCTGTGGTAAGAGAGAAATGTCAGGTAGAGACCGAAAATTTTCACTGTTAAACCATATCTGTCCCGCCGAATTCCTTACAATCGCTGTCTTAACATCAGCTGTCATTTCGTAGTTTGACAACTCAGTTTTCATTTTACCGCGCCATCTACATTGGGTACAGATCGATCTGATTGGCTTGATGCCATTTGCCATTTTTATGCAAACTGAATATACAAAATTTATGTAAAGTACATGCAAAAAATATGCAAGAATTATGAAAAGTATATCAAAAAGGTTTATAAAACGCGCATATCTGTTATGCAAGAATTTAAGTAACACCTAAAAAACAAGAGCGAAGTCTTTTGCACTTGTGGCTATGTTATTAAGATTTCGGAGAAAATTAAACAAGTTTTGTTAAGCGCATATCTCATTTTGTTTTAACTTGTAGTTGGTTTGCTCTTTAAAATACTTTAGAGTTGTATCTACTATTGCAATATACAACCGTAATTTTTTCTAAATTTTCAACTGAGAGGATCTGTCGTTTGTCGTTTAAAATAAATTTATAAGCGGAAAATGGTCGCAACTAGTAATTGGTGCAAAATTATATTTGGTCTAAAACAGCTGGTTGATGGATAAATCAGTATGTTCTGCCAGAGGATCTCTTAAAATCGCCGCTATTTGCCTTAATTCGAAGAATAAGGGGTTTTTCTACAGAGCCACAAATGTGGCTCGAATGTTAATACCATAGTTCCCAGGAACGTTTTCTAACGATTTCTCGAATTCTGTTACAATGCTATAGATACGCCAGTTGCATATGCCGTTCCTCTAATTTCTGTATAGAAGCTGGCAAGTTGACAAAATGCGTTTTTTTGAATAGTAGAGATGTTAGCAAAGATTGATCTCGATTTGCATTTTGCACAGTCTCAACACACTCCGCATCAGGAGTTAGTGCTTCAAGAACCTAAAAAATTTAAAATGATAAACCATAATATCTTTCGTGAAGTGTATATTAGGTACCTCTTTAATTTTAAAATAGTTGTCCGCATAATATAAAGCTGCATTAATCCAAGTGCCCCATCTGGTAATAATCGGACTTGGTGGTAAAGGAGCATTACCCATAATTTCTTTCTACAAAGATATTCGGGCAGGCGATTTCAAAAATACTCTTTTTACAGCTGAAATGAAATCATTAACGTTTGGAAAAAGTAAACAGATTTTTTCAGCAACCTCGGTGAAGTCCGTGGGCTAGGCAAGTCAAATGTTTAAGGTTTTTGTAAAACACTTTGAGATGTTTTGCTGCCTTAATCATATCAGCTGCATCAGTTAGTAGAAGTAAAATTTTGTCTGCATTATTTCCATTTGGCTATAGTTGAGGAAGAGAACAATTAATGAAGCGAGCAATAGATTCACTACGCGCGAGCTATTTCTGAACAGCAAAGCAAATGGGATGATGATGTCTCATTTTCGTTAAGCTTTCCTACGATAAAATTCGCAATATAGCGCCCGTTGAATCAGTGGTCTCATCAACTACAATCCAAATGTAATCATCTTGAATGTATCTTTTTATATTTTCTATCGTTTGGTCATAGACGTCTTGAAGACAATTTTTTCGAAGTGTGGACTCATCTGGAACCATACGCTGAGTGTATTTTTCCAAAAAAAATCTGAATTTTGCATTTTGCAATGCATGCCAAGGGACATTCACAGCAACCATTGCCTGGCATAACTCCAAATTAAAGTCTTCGCGTGTTGCCTCTTGATTTTCCTGATTAATAGGGCTGCCCGATATCTCTGTTGCCAAACCGGGACACTTTAGGGAGGGCCTCTCGCTCCCTTCTCTTTCATTTCGACGTGCGAAAGGATGTAGTGAAATTTTATTTTGACAGACAAAAACAAGAACATAAAAACATGAGATCATGAGATCATTACAACGTACGCCAACAAAACAAAACAACTTATCACAACTAAAGCACAGAGAATTTTTCACAATGCATGAACCTTTTTTTATTCTTTATAAAAATACAGTTTATACTAAATATATGAAAAAAAACATAAAAAAATTGTTAAACTTTGTGCTAAACTCGGCAAAATTCAATAAATTTTCAAACAAATTTGCAACATTCTAATCAGACTTTTTATAAAATTTTTTAAAATGAAGTTTTGCAGCCCATTAAATTTTAGTTGATTTTTGGTATTGTTTTTACTGAGAGTTTCTTCCATACAAACTATGTTCTATAATTCTTTTTATATGGAGGACACTGTCAGCAAAAAAAAATGCTAAAAATCAACGAAATTTGCTGGCAACTTCAGACGTGTACTTTATTAATTGGCCCAAAATCTACATTTTCAAAATTTTTCTAAAAGATCTGACTAGAAATTGTGATCTGATGAAAGAGCCTTCGAGCCAATAATTTTGTACGGCACTGTACTCTAGGTTTCATGAAAGAAAAAAATTCAAGTACAAGATAACATAAAAATATCAGTCATATTTTTCGTTGCTGTGAACTTGTTTCAAAACTTCTGTCTTTTCCTTAATATAATTGTAAAACTCTGTGCACGTCATTTTGAACGTATTTGGNAAATTTCTCTACTTATATGTTTGGCTTTTCTTTGTTTTATTTTTCCAACGTCAAAAGCTGGATTTTTTTTTTGAAAAAGTTGGTACAACAAAAAATACGAAACACGTTTTCTGTCAGATAGCTAACATGGCGGATAAGAAGAAGAAGTGAAACTACCTTCTAAAAATTATTGTATCATGGGTACATATACGAATCATCAACTATTGCTTGTGCAAAGTTCAACTATCTCGAAATGTAACTATTTCACAAATTAAACCGGTGCACTGAGAGAAAGAAGTTTAGAATTAAAAAAGCGTGCTAAATTAAAAAAATACGCATATGAAAGAGCGCCAACCCAACTCGTAATACATTTAAGTATACAAATTTTAGTGTTTAGTATAGAAATATTCACTTCAAATACGCCCATATTAAAATGAAGCGATTTGCAATTACTGATTGCTTTTTCATAATTAAGTTAAAAAAATATTTAAATTCCATGCTGGTTGTAATGGGAATTGAGCTCTGACCCTCTGGAAACTAGCAAATTGTGGCAAGCATCTTCGCGCACTCAGTTACCGCCAGACATGTAAATGTGCATTTAAATGTTGCGTTTGAATCAACACCACGCGTGCGTGTTATGAAAGTATTATTTTTAAATACGAACATTTTCAAACGATAATCAAATAGAAAATATTCATGTTTACTGTGCGTTATTTCCCTCAGTGAATTCATAAAATTTTTCTGAATATTACAACGCGTTTTTTCGCTTAGTGTAGTGATTTTTGAACTTTTATTCAAATTTGTGCAATCAAATGAAAAACCGGGACACTAAAACGAAACCCGGGACAAATAGTCTAAAACCGGGACATGTCCGGGAAAACCGGGACGTCTGGCAGCCCTATGATTAATGCGCTTGCCTTCCTTAAGAAATTTTGTTGCAACATACTGCACTAGCTGCGATTTTCTTGAGCACCCGAAAGCACAAAATTTTTTATAAATAATGCATGAATTTTTTGAAAATTACTTACGAATTTGTTGCATACTTTGCATTTGATTGAATTCTCACTGATCTGTAAAGTTCCATCTTTAATTATATTAAGTCACTTTTTGAAAGCATATTTTTTTAAGGATTTGACATATTTAGTTTATTTTAAGCTAAGTTATTTTAAGTATGAGTACGACTCGAATTGAAATAATTATGTTCAGCGAAAAGGTTTAAATTTTGGTCGATTAAAAAAGCATACTCAGCAGAATTATAAATTGCAGTTAATTTTAAAGTACAGTTCAATACAGTACAGTACACAGTATACAGCCAAAATCAGTCTAAATTTATAATACTTTATTTATAGGGAATATTCAACAAAAAAGGTATAAAAATATGCAAAATATATGGAAATATGCAAAACATAGTAAGACCAAATTAACTCATATTCTGCTATAATGAGCTTCTACCCAGGTCCGGACTTTCTGAGATGCTAAACAAAAATATACACTTGCATACGAATCCGAGCTCATGTGATATGTTATGACAGCAAGTTGCCCACATGAGAAAGCGGTACAAAGAAATTTGACAGATGTTAAGACACATTTAGTAGAAAATGGAGACGTGGGCTAAGGGTTCCGAAGAGAAGTCACCGGGGTTCCGCGAAATTAATTTTGGTATGAATAAGCACGGTTGTCGGTTTGAGTTGCACAAAGAAAGAAAAGTTCTATAAAAAGCTTGACCGTGACGCAGTTATCTATTTTCAAGTATACATATGTACTCGTAGTTGGTATGATTGCCGTACTGAGTGCCATACCTAAATAAGAGCGTTGAGCTTGCGCTTGACAGCTTGTTTATTTTCTAACCGGTATGTGTTGTTGGCGGCTGTAGCCAAAGGGTTATATACAACTTTCTACAAGGAACGCGATGAATTGCCAAATAAAATGTGAAATGTCATAACTGGGCACTTGGTCAATCACCTGAAATCTTTGTCAGATTATTTTTCGGATGGTAGTAGTAATATCGGGACAAACATCTGGTATTTCTTCATAGCATTTCCAAAATACTATATGTCTGTCACCAAATATTATAATATTCTTCAGGAGACTACGTGAGCAATCTCGTATTTTTACCTTCCTTTTATTAACTCGGGATGTAACTATGTAATAGTGATGCGCCTAAAAGATGCACCGATTTCTATTCTCAAGTTACATATCTGATGACAGTACGAATGGCAATTATAATAGGGAGATTTTAGTTTTTTAAACTATAATTTTATTCTATCACTGTAGCCTGCCACAAGAATATTAATGAGTCTTGTATTGCTTCACTTTGAATACGTAATTGCGGCTTAATGAAATCGTCGCGCATACATATAAATATACTGCCCTTCAACCAAGCTAGTGCTAGTGGTGGCATGGTTGTGGGTTGCAGCGCGCTTTGGTTGGCTTGGTTACTAATGCCGTCTTTAAGTACTAAGTAGTACTATATGGGTACTTTTGAATTTGCTACTGAAATTTCTTATTTTAAAATTAATAATGCGAAAATGTTTGGAAATTAATTTTAATTGGAAAATAGTTGCGTATCTAATGAACAAAACTTTGTAAAGGAAACAACTTTACGTCACAGCTTATCGGATTTTAATTAAAACTAAAAAGTTTCAATGAAGTATTTCCGACATTGACTTGCCCAAATGTACTAATTGGATATTTAGACCTATAATATTTTGGCGGCGTATACAAGTGTTCGCTTTTGGGGAAATGAAGCGATACGACCATGTTAAGATCATGGAAAAGCTACAATAAATTGGGTTTTAGCAGCTGCCTTCATTTCGAATGCGAGTTTACTTAGGCCGAAATGAATCTGATACAACTGTCTTCACTCGATGTTGAGGCGGGCTAATCACCTTTAAAGGGCACCAATTAGATTGTCTGGAAAGGCATTGAAGGTCGCAGATTCTTATCAAACTAAGGTCACAAAAATGTTTGCTGTAAACTCCAATACCTTAGCGTTTTCCGCGCTTCTCAATGGTGGATACAAAAAGCAACGCTCCCGATCTTGTTGTCATTTCGTGGACTGCTTTGGTTATAGTAAAGGTCAGCGATCTAGAAACGAGTATTTATGTATAAACATTGGCAAGTTTATTCATAAACGTGGCCTTTACACGTTGGCGAAGGCGAGTACCGCAGACGATATAGACAAAGCGCAGCGAAGTAAAATGCAGCGGCTCCGGTGGCTTGGCCATGTCGTTTGAATGGACCCCGACGTTCCAGCTCTGAAGCTATTCAACTCGGAACTCGCTGGTGGTAGCAGAAGAAGACGGAGGCCCCACTGCGATGGAAAGACCTAGTGGAAAAGGACTTGGCTTCACTTGACATTTCCAATTGACGTCAGTTGGCACAAAAGAGAAACGACTGGCGTGCTTTGTTGAACTCGGCCAAAATAGCTTAGGCGGTTACAGCGTCAAATAATAAGAAGAAAAATTTGCAAGCATACAGTAATTTTCTAGCGGGTTCTTTCTTTAGCCTTCCGCTTCATCGCAAGCTTTCCATGCTGATACCCAAGTATCTACCATCATCAATGTGACACCATTAAACGAAGAGAGCTAGAATTGTGGCTTGTAGTCGAGCCTGCCAACTCTATCTTTATGATAAATATGGCATCTCAGAGCTAAGGAAAGTTGACAGCGCTGTTTGTAGTTTTCCTTCGTGGCGAAGGCGGACATTGTTAGATGGGTATGTTACCCGCTTTACCTCAATGGTTTGCCTCAGAAAGGACACTATTTGTACGTCATATCAGTAAATCTGGCTGGTTGTGCTCCAAACATACACTTTGACCTCTTGTTGTGCCAGATGAAGGTCGAACCCTAAGTGAACTTATAAATAATCAACTTCAATGGGCTGCTGTTGTAGAGAATCCAAGGAATACCTGCGCATTATTTTTGAGACATTCTCTAAAATTCCAAACTGCCTAACCCCCAATTATTTCAGTCGAGTTCCTAGATGAACCGAGCGAATTTCGTATTTGCGGGATTCAACTTAGGAACTTCAAATTTCGTTTTTCAAAATATCAAAGCTTGCTTAAAAAAATTTATCTTTCGCCATAGAACTCATTTATGCTCGCCGAAAGGAGAAAGATAGCTTCTCAAAAAGCACAACGCTACGTAAAGGTGAAAAGACGCCAACACCATTTTGTTTTTTTTTTAATTTAGTTTTTGATACGGAATGGCAGGTAATACGAAATTACATAAACTTTTTGTCTCTCCTGAATAATTTCAAAAAATGGACTTGACACCTTTTCATCATTAGGTAACAATAAATAATATTTAAAATGTTTTCATAATCGGCAGTATGTATGTATGTAAATAAATATGGAAAATTGTATAAAAAATTTACTTACAAATAATTACATTATAATTACAAAATTCATTATGTAGTCGTACGTTTATGCGAGCACTTTTGCTTTGTAGTTAATACGCATTTGCGTAGCGCAATAAAATTCATTTATCTTCTTCAAAGTGAAGACTTCTGCATGGATTCATAAAAAAATAACTGGAAAAGTGCACCAAAAAAGGAAAATGGATAAATGTAAGCTATTATCAACCGAAAAAAACAAATGGCAGCGGAAGAAGAGCAGCTATGTATGTATGTTTTAATGCCGTCGCACCAACACAAACCCAACTGCGTCTGCTTGAAATGGTCCGATTGTCTTCGCATTTGTCTATCTGTCTTGCCTGTCTACATATCCTCTGCAAGCACACATATTATGCGATTGTAAGATTTATAATATTAAGTTTTATTTTTTTTATTTTTTTTTGTTCCGGAGCTTGCAGCAGCGCGTACGCCAGCATGAGGACGAAGAAAAGTACGAGCAGAGCAAAGGATTTCAAATATCACAAAAGTCGAGTGGCACATTAAAATACGAAATGACAGCGCACATTATTTTCATTGCTGCTACATTTATAAGGCTGGCCTTGTGCATCACACACTTGCTATGTACATAGGTATCTCTGGTGATAGAACGATACGAGTACCGAGTACAGAATATCGATACTTTTCATGAGTACTGAGTAGTATCGAGGACTCGATACTTTTTGACAAGTACTGAGTAAATATCGCGAGCACCGAAAAGCATCGCCTTTTTAAAAACTTGTTTAGGTAAATGTTTTTTTTTCAATTACATTGAAAAATGTTTAAAAATGACCCCATGGGCATAACGTTCATTTACTTTAATACTGTCATAACTCAAAGAACCGAAAAATTAATATATATTACTTTGTTCTGGTGATCTACTGGTAATCGCTATGACATTTTTATACAACATAGAAGAAGAGGTAGCAGTCATGTGGACATTTGGCTCGGTAAAAACTTCTTAAATAATTGGAAACGAATATCTTGTCATACCTTCGATAAGACTGGCCTATATAAAAAAGTGGTCTTTGCTTTGAACCAGACCCACATATCGACATATATTGAGGTCCATTTGACTCCTACACCTCCTAAATTTGGAGTTAATGGCGAAAATTGTGGAAAAATGACAAAACCGAGTCAAACGGACATCAGATTCGGATTTAGTGGGTCGAAATACGTGGTGGCAAGTGGGTCTGATATAAGCACATACCAATTGTTTTTTGTGCCGGTGTAAGGAATGGGTTAGAAGGGTGGTCTTCGGCTCGATGACTTGGCAATTCTGCAGAATAACGGAGCCTTCGTTTTTCAATGTATTCTACCTTGGTTTTAAATTCGAAATCCAGCCCGATTCCGAAGAAAGGGAGCTTATCAGCTTAAGAGCTTCAAATGAGCCTTTTGCTATAAACATTTGTTTCACGCTTTTAAACTTATTGCAAGTTCTTTTCAAAAACTCCGTTAGAAATTCTTGTTAGATCAGACTTCAGCTATTAAAAGCAATGTCTATTCAATTTACAAAAAGAAAGAGGTCATGTTTATATGTAAACAAAGCAATCTAATTTTTGTTAACTTTTCGCGTTTGCCCTAAAAATACTTGGAAGTACGAGTATTATCGATACTTTTTTGCAAATATGAGTACTGGCATCGATTCTTTTTTAGAGTATGATAAATTAGTACTAGTATCGATACTTTACTAAAAAGTTCTATCACTAGGTATCTCTAAGGACAATGCAAGAATAGGAAATGCGAAAATAGTAGCCAAACAGGAAAGAAGGCGTAGAATAAGCAAAAGAAGTCATTGCAAATAAATTGAAATTGCAAGCAGATTTATGATAACCGTAATTTTTGCTGCCGCCCACAACTTTTGCGCCGAGTAAGACTTAGGGCAGCGCATTGAGACTTTGAGCAAAACCATCATAAAAATTATGATTATTTGTTATTGGTATGGATTTATAGGTGAAGCATTAGTTGTTGTTTTCCCGCTGTTGACCTGTGGTAAGAAAATGCGATTTGGCTTTATAGTAATGAAATTACCAAGGCACATATTATCAGACCTGAACATTAACCTTAAAATTTAAAATTTAAATAAAAAAATTTGGATCTAAATCGGCGAACACATGAAGTTCTGAATCTACTTTTTTATGGTCATACAGTTAAAAAACTAATTTGGGATGGCTCGTTTCTGGCTATTAGGTTTCAGTTTTCTTTAGAAACATCTTCTTTGGAACACCTTTGGTTCAACTTTCTAGGAACATTCAAACGCGGGAAGGGTTTTCGAATCGTATACATATTAGAATAGGCACCTATCTAAAAAATATTCGAATGAAATAGGTTGGAAATTAAATTAACCAAAATGTGGAAATATAAATATGTATGTATAATGGTACACATATGTTTGAAGTACAGTTCATTTTTCAAAAACTAGGATTGTCGTCTATATACATAACAAATATAACGATTCTAAAAAACATATACTTAATCAAATGGTCGAGAAGAATTTCATAAAGATCTGTTTTCAAATATGGCAGCAACCAATTTTAAGGCAAAACATACTTAAACTGAACAAATTTTACGTTATCTTAAAGCAAATCAGAACGGAACGAAAAATGACACTGAAGATGGCACAACGCCGAAACCGGTTTGTCTCCAAACCAAATTTGACAAGGGATGACGGAAATTCGTTCCATAATACATAATACAGCAAATCAGAACCTTTTTAAGAAAGAATTTAACCAATAATATGTATTTTATAACAGAAAAAACTTGGCGACCTACGCCTTTTTGAGCAGAAACTTTTTGCTTTTTACTTTTGAAGCATTAAAAAAAATCAAACACGAAATATACTCTTGAAGCTTGAAATCCCAAAAATCCACAAAAAAATATAATAAATAGGAACGAATACGTTCGGGGAGGTGCCGAAAATATCTTTAAAAGTCATGGAAATTTCCCAAAAAAAACATAATTCTGATAAGCCCCAAAAATACTAAATGAATTTCAAAAATAAACATAAAATCACAAAATAACCACAAAACTTAACGATAAAAATCTCGAACCCAAAACGAATCCAAAAAATTGCGAATAATTCCCAAACACAGCAAAAAAAATTTAAAAGTTACCCTAAAAATTACAAAAGCAACCGCAAAAATTCACGAATAAAATTGGAATATTCTTGAACTGGTTTCGAAAATCGCGGTAAAACCCAAAAGTCTCGGGGGAATCAAAAACTCCCGAAAAAATCAAACAAGTCCAGAACAATATAACACGAAAAGTACAAAATAAAATGGTAAGAGTTCACGGAAAATCCCGAAATCCCGATCCCAATAATATCGAAAAAATCCGAAAACCCCTAAACGCAACTGGATAAATCCCTAGAATACCACGAACGGTCACAAAACGCTAAAAGACTAAACTGAAACAAGAAAAAGTAAATTGCCTTTTTTCGAGCTTGCATTCATCTTTTTTAGGTTAAATATGATGATTGCCATTAGAAAACAATTTAAGAACAAAAAAGTATTTATCAACTTAGACAAACAAGCCAAATAATAAATGGCTGCATTTAACTTTCGCGTACTTAACTTCACTCATAGTAGCACACCATGGCGTATACGTAATATTTCGTTAGGGATTCCAAAAAAAGCGCACAGAGCGCATTTATCGTCACATTTTTAACGCCTTATTTATTTTCAATCAATATTTATGATGCATTGCATTCCTTACCAGCTCACTTTTACCAACAATTTTTCTCGCAATAGTGACGGGTCTGCACAGTCGAGTATTCAAGCATCAAAAGTCAGCAAAAAATGGGGTGTCGAGGGAAGCGTGAAAAATTGCATATCGCATTGCAGTGCATTGCAATGTTTTATTGATATTTGCATTTACATATTATTGTGTACTTAGAAGAAAGGCGCTTTTAAAACAAAACAACAACAAACTAGCATGCAGCCACAAATCAAAAATATAAAGCTGTAGCGATGCGAAGGGTGCCTTCTCATTTTGTATGTGTGCAACTTATACTCACTCAGAGGCATCCAAGTTGGGTTATGCAAATGCAAACATACATACCCTGGTAGACCGCCTTACACGATTCTCCAATACACATGTACAATGTTTCGAAAAAACTAATACATATGCAAAATAATTTCGCTCTTCTTGTTAAATAGCAAAACTTTAAAAATATATATTCAGTTCTTCCCACTCATAGTAAATGGCATACATTTTGTAACAAATTTTTCGGAAAGGAGAGAAAGAGACAACTGCCTGTGTAAGAGGTTGTTAGTGCCGCAAAACTTACAGACAAAAGTAATTGATATTTCAACTCGGTTCGGAAAAAATTGCGTCGATGTCATTCAAAAACCTTTTATGCCCTTTAAAATTTGTTTAGGAAGTTCATATAAATATTAATGTGATATTAATATAATGGATCAAACACAGAAATAAGTAAAAATTGTCTATTATAACATCAAACATACCGAGTACATCATAATGAATTCTTTTCAACGAGTTCTTTTAAACAAGTTCTTTTTAGTGAGTACTTTTTCGACTAACCTTGTCCATAACTTTTATTTACATATATCCTGAGAAAATAAAGTTTAATGTGGGATGCGCATTCGCAAACTCGCGAAAATAAATTAATGAAATAAGAAGAAAATAACTGAGTGTAGGAATAAAGGTAAGAATAATGAATAAGCTAACGTTTCAAAACTGTATGAGCAGGGGAAAAACGCAATTTGAAAAAAATGTGAAGAAAATAAAAGAGCTTCACGCCGGTGTGCAAAATAGTTTCGTGCAAAATAATCAAGTGAGTGAAGTGAGTGAAGATATAGATCTGGATGACCAGCAGATTGTTGAGGAAGTGAATCTAGATTTTGACGAAAGCTTAGGTAATGTGTTACTCGCAACAAGCGGTCAACATTTGGACAAATGTAGAGAGGTAAAGAGTTGGGCCATAAGACACAACGTTCCACATGTCGTTTTGGACGACTTACTTAAAACTTTACGTAAAGTTGGTGTTGATAGTTTGCCGGAATGTGAAAAAACTTTAATGGGTACAGATAGAAAACCCATTTCAATTCAGAGATTCCCGAATGGTGAATTTTTGTACTTTGGGATTCAGCATCATTTTTCTAAAAACTCGTTTCCTAGCTTAGTTGATAGGGAAAAAATTGTAATTGATATTGGAATTGACGGGCTAAAATTATTTAAAAGCTCTAATCGTGTGCTCTGGCCAATCCTAGGTACTATTGTGGATTGCGCGAATAAGCCATTTACAATTGGTTGCTTTTCGGTAATGACCAAGCCAGATTGTATCGATGACTTCTGAAAAGATTTTTGCCATGAGGTAATTTTTTTAAAGCAAAATGGTATCAAAACCTGGTCGAAACTAATTACATATTTTTTAAAACAGAAAACGCACATATACACACTGAAGGGCGCTTCTGGAGACGTGGATCTTGTTATGCGCAAATTATTTGCGGACGAATTGTTGTATTTTTATAATTGGGATGGCAGAAAGGAAAAAAAGCGTTGTCTAACCTAAATTTAGTCAACCAGATTTTATTTGCTAATATATAACATATGTAGATATACGTAATTTTTATCTTACCCCTTTTATATCATTTTTAGACGTGTTTGTGACAAAACGTCGACTGCAGTTCGAAAAAGAGGTGAAGAAAGCCGTGGAACCCAGCCACAATCGCTTTAAATATACGAAAGCAAAGGTTTAATTTTGTATGATTGAATTAATTTATAAATGTAAGGGACATAAAACTTATACAAAATAATTAAATGTATGAAAAGTTAGAAAAGATAAGAAAAACATTTCATTTGAATAGGATAATCGTGTGGTAACACTACCAGTAGGTTTTGCGGTAATCGCTTGG